AATTTAGCCTTATTGGCTTATCCCGTTCTAATGTCAGCGGATATTTTTCTTTATGATGCGGATTTAGTAATCGGCGGTCAAGACCAGCAGCAGCATGGTGAATTAACGGCTGCCATCGCCCGCAACTTCAATAACTTTTACCAAGCCGAATTGCTAAAATTGCCACAATTTGCTATCCCTCAATTAGGGGGTAAAATTATGGGCTTGCAAAATCCGGAAAAAAAAATGTCCAAAAGTGAAAACGACCATTTGGCTTTACTCGATGAACCTGAAATTGTCAAAAAAAAAATCCAGCGAGCGGAAACAGACTCAGAAAACAAGGTTTATTATGACCCAATAAAAAAAACTGGCATTTCTAACCTTTTGCTTATTTATGCTTTGTTCAAGAAGGTCAGCCCGCAGGAAGCGGAAAAAGAGGTGAGTAATTTAAACTACCACCAATTTAAAACTAAATTAGCAGAATTAGTTTGCGCTAAATTCCAAATTATTCAAGAAAAGTTTCCTATTTATCAAGCCAAAATCACTGGCTTATTGGAAAAAAATCAACATTACTGCCAAAAACTGGCTCAGCAAAAATTAAAAGAGATTAAAAATAAAATGAAATTGCCAAATTAATTAAAACCGCTGACAGTAGCACCAAACGAGACTAAAATTTTTTATCATGTACTACATACCGGTAATTTTTTTCTTGTTAGGATGGCGTTTTTATTATTTTTTATGGTTTTATATGTATAGTTATCCAATTATGGTTTAAATAAATTTTAAGTTTAAAATATAAAAGTAAAAGAGGGCGAGAAAATAAATAAATGAATAAGCAAAAAGAAAAATCGCCGTAAATCACCTACTTTTTTGGTTTTTCTTGCCCTAAATCCACCCATTTAAACCCTTTTAAGTCTTTATTAATACGATAAATAGAGCCTGTGTTCCGGGCGGGGAAATTTAAACCAAAATCTTTATCATGGTAAGCAATCAAGCCAATGAGTTTGCTAAAAAGTAATATATGGATTTAGTGGAATTTTTGGGTAAAATAGCTTTTGGGTTTTTAGCACTTTTGCCTTTGATTCTTACTTTTTGCAATTATTTTACGGTTTTGAAAACTCCAGAGCAAAGAAATAGTTGGCAGGGTGTTCTTTTCTTGATTATTAGTATTATTTATGGTTTATTATGTTTATACTTTTTATGCAAAAATTGAAGCAAGTAGCCAAAATGCCCGTAAAGTTTCCAATACGACTAGCATTTAAAAATACATTATAAAAGCTGGTTTAGCTATAACTGGATAGAGCAGCCGCCTTGTAAGCGGAAGGCTGGGGGTTCGAGTCCCTCAATCAGCACCAAAAAAAATCAAAACCTCGTGTTCATTTTAATTTTATTTAATCATGCATTTCGTCTTTGGCTAATAAGTTAAAGAGAGTGTTAGCCACTTTTTCAGCCCCGTACTTTTCGTTTAATTTTTTGACTTTTTCCTTGTTGTTTTGACTAACTTCCGTCTTTTCTATATTATTGATTATTTTTTTCAGCAATTTATCTTCTAAAATTTGGCTGATTTGGCTTTTGTCAGGTAAATTTAGTGGCTCAACTTTGTATCCTTTTTGCCGAGCCAAGGCAAACAACATTTTTTTCTCTTTGGGGGAACTAATAAAAGTTATCGCTTTGCCACTGGCTCCGGCTCTGCCGGT